AGCACATGAAATTTCCAATACTAAAGGTACAACTCTTTCCGAAACTCATGTTACATCACCCTCTACCTCTCCTTTGTCTTTAGAACTAGAGCATCACTTTGGAGATGATATCTTTGAGGGGGATCAAGCAGTTCCATCAGCAGATGAAGAATTGCATCATGTTGCTCCATAACCTCAAACTTGCACCAAGTGGACAAAAGACCATCCACATCACCAAATCATTGGTAATCCATCATCTGGTGTCAAGACGAGATCTGCTACTGCCAATGAATACCTCTTCGCCAACTTTCTGAGTATGATCAAACTAAAGAAGATTTATGAAGCCCTACAAGATCCAAACTGGATAGACGCCATGCAAAAGGAGCTACTCCAGTTTGAGAGAAACAAAGTATGGTCCCTTATGTCTCTACCTAAAGGGAAAACGGCCATAGGGACCAAATGGGTCTTCAGAAACAAGAAGGATGAAGATGGCATAGTTGTAAGAAACAAGGCCAGGGTTGTTGCCTTGCTACTGCCAAGAAGAAGGGATTGACTATGATGAAACATTTGCTCCCGTCGCCATACTTGAAGCCATCAGAATATTCCTCGCCTATGCAGCACACAAAGGTTTCAAGGTCTACTAGATAGATGTCAAGTCTGCCTTCCTCAATGGAAAACTTCAAGAGGAAGTATATGTGCAGCAACCCCCTGGGTTCGAAAATCCAAAGCATCCAGACTATGTCTATTTTCTAGACAAAGTCCTCTATTGGCTGAAGCAAGCACCCAGGGCCTGGTATGATACACTCTCTACCTTTCTCATTGCCAATGGATTCTAACCCTCTTTCTCAAGAAGCACAAAGATGAATTTTACTTATGCAAATATATGTGGACGACATAATATTTGGTTCTACCAATGCTAAATTTTGTGAAAAATTCTCAGAATTGATGAAAAGCAAATTTGAGATGAGTATGATGGGAGAACTTAGTTTCTTCCTTGGTCTTCAAATAAAACAAACTTTAAAAGGAATCTTCATCAATCAGTCCAAATATGTGACTGACCTACTAAAGAAGTACTATCTCTCAAATTCATCATCGATGAGAACACCAATGGCTATAGGAGCTAAGATGTTTGCTAATCCATTAGGCAACTGTAGAAATCATATCCTTATGCATTAAATATAAAGAAAAAAAATAGAATTATGTTATTGGTTGATGTTAGTTTATATCGTTTGTATGAAATAAATGGTTTGCAAAGTAAACCATCTCTCTCTCTCTCTCTCTCTCTCTCTCTATATATATATATATATAAAGTTTCTTTGCCAACTACTATTTTTAGTTTTCTTTATTTCTATTTACTGTTATTCTTATTATCGTATCACGTCTTTTATATTATTGTCATATATTATCATCATCTTTTATTTATCGCAACTTAAATTCTCGTCGTAATTTATCATAGATTAGTTATTTATAAGTTTTTAATTAGTTATCGGTAATTTCGTTTAGAATATTTCTCGTAATTTACTTTCATCATTTATTTTAACTCCTCATAGTCTTTAGTTTAAGATTATTTTAATTTTTAGTTGTCGTGAAACTTTCTTTCTATAAAAATTTATTTTCTCATTTTTTTTAAATAGATATGCAAGGATCCTAAGCAATGATAGGCTGACAACCTTTTGTTTGGGTGTAGGGTAACGTTAAGATAAAGGATTGACTTTGATGATAGAAATTTGTTAAATATTAACAAATCTTTTTTTATTAACCTGAATATTCAACCCGTTATGCGAGCTGACTAATCCCAGGGCGACCACCTGCTTTGCAGATAGCCCGGAGTCACCACGTTTGAACCTTTGTGGTCACAAGGGGATTTTTATTTCTCTTTGGATTTGAACATGTGACCTCCAGGTACTTCTGACCTTTGGAGTCAAGCTCAAACCAATCAGGCACACCCTTGTGGTTAAAATATTAACAAATATTTCCAACCATTTATTCAAGGTTATATTGATAAAAATTACATCTCTCTTAACAAGTTGATTTTTGCAGAAAAATGTTACCAATTTGATGGACTTAGAGATAAGTCATCCCGAACACATCAACTTGAATAATACGAAAGTATACTCGAGAGAGTTACTTAGAACCAAGGAGACTCATTCCGTACAACTTATGCAAGGGATAGATTGTGCCATTGCCATGACTGATTTTATTTGGAAACATTAAAATTGGTCCTTGGATAAATGCCCTTCTCAACCTCGAGAGAGTACCTTACACAAGCTGATGGTGGGTTAAAGATAAGTTATTATCTACAAAGTTCTGTCTGATTTATTTGTCCAAAAATCTTAACTGGTCCCTAAACCTTGCTTTCTTTTAAATTAATTATTTGCATCATTTAGTTTTAAGTTACCAAACCAAAAACAATTCTTCGAAATCGCCATCTGAAATCTAATCCTTTTATGGACTTTATCTAAAACTTTTAACACTTTTTTCCCTGTGGATCGATATTCATATCTTACCCTTTTTATTACCTGTAAAAGACGACAAGGAGTTGATACGTGTATACTTGTATGAGTCTCCATATACACACAGTCTGAGAGATTTTATCTTCATATAAATCTTGTAACAGTAGCACCCGTTTCTATTTACAAACTTATGTAAGGTTTATAATATTATATTGATGTTAAATCTTAATTGTCATTACAAGTACTCAATTGTTGACTCATGGAAAAGGATAAAATCCTTGATGATGTATTTTTGTAAATTTTTAATTAGTCGCCCTTTCTAAATTTGAGAGTTTTACATAGATATTGTCTTATGCATTAAATGCATAGGGACATCTATCACTTGAGAACAAGATGCTCAACATTGACCTAAAGACTTTAAAGTCACTTTCATTGTACATGAAAGAAGGACTTGTCGTTAAACAAATCTAAGAGGTTGAAGCAAAATCATAAGAAGAAACACATGTTTTCAGGTGCTCAGAGAATGTTTTTATCAAGTATAAGGTTGTGAGATTTAGTTAGAACTGATGAGCAAGTGAATCTTTAAAATGATCGACCAATAGTTTTTTTGACTATCTAATCGATGAATCAGCTAGAGAGGATAAAGCTTCGTGCATGAGTTGGAAGGTAGATAGCAGATCGCATCGGTTGATCCACTTCCTTAGATATCAAGTAGTCAGAATCCAATTTGCATTTCATCCGGGAAAAGCCATATTTTTCTCAACAATGCCTTTGTCATTTGATCCAATAGTGTTTCGTTAGATAGGAACAGATTTGATAGATATTGATAACTCTCAGATAGAGTATTAGAACGGAAAGATCCATTAGATACTGAACTATTGGTTCTAAGCCATCTCTGGCGATTAATCAAACTTCGATAAAAAATTGCACAAAAACAGCTGAACTAAATAAAATTCATGATATGCTTGTTCCATATCCTAATTCTCGAGAATATGAACATAAAATAGAAAGATCAGAAAAAAAAGGAAAAATTGATTCAAATAGAAATAATAGGGTAATTTTTTTACTCAACACAATTAACCCTAAGCGTAAAAAAAATCTATTAGAATAAATGAAATTGGTAAAAAAAACCCTCGATGGTCATACAAATTAATCAACCAGTTGGGACAATATTTTAGAAAACGACGAAAAGAACATGACATACTGTACAGGCTGGATCACCAGATTCGAACAAGAAGATTTAAACGTATAATTTTTTTAAGCCCGAGGGATGTCCCAGATCAATTTAATAAATATTATGCTTTTTACACCTAAAGAACCTAAAAGCAATTTTGTATATGTCAGCTAGATTATAAAGAAGATCGAAGGGTCATCACCAATTTCATTGAGGGACCAACACATCTGATAACAAAGCACAACAAAAATAACAAGGGTTTTGTACAAAACTGAGAAAAAAAAAAGCAAAGGTGAGAGGGATGTAATACCCGTTTCCATGAACACGTGAATAGATAAGTCGAAGGTATGAACACGTGAATCATAAGTGCGGCTAAACTCATGAACTAGAGGTCTGAATGAACTTGTCAGTCATAGGTGTGATACGTCGGATGGAAGTGAAGGAAAGGGATAAAACATTCACTGAGTCAGGCTTAACGTTGTGTTCTCAAAAAAATTATTTACGAAGAAAATAAAAGAGAGGAAAGGAGAGGAAAGTAAAAGAACTCGTGTATTGAAACTCTTTTAGGAGAGAAAGGAAATGAAAAGGAAGGAAAACAAAAATAAGTTTCCTCCTAAAACTTTCCTCCCAAACATGGGAGGAAAGAAAAGGAAATATATTTTAAAGAGTATATTAGTAAAAAAATGATGTCTTTTATTTCCTTTCTCTTACGTTCAGGAACATGAATAATTATTTTCTTTCCTTTCCTTCCTTTTCAAGAATACAAATAAAAAAATTATTTTCCTTTTTTCTTTTCTCTCCTCTTCTTTTCCTTCCATTTGCTTTCTTTTCTTCTCAGATTCGAGAACATAACGTAAGGAAGACTAGGAGTACACCATACAAAGTGGTATAAATGTTCAAAAATCATAAATTGATTAGGTATACAAGTGGTTCAAATGAGCCTATCTAAATTTTGATCCAATACGTATGATTTGAGCATTTCATGACTCTATTAGACATTAAGAGGCTTTGGATTAAGTTATCTCGTGTTGAATTGACTCTGGTTGTCGAGTTAGTCAAGTTCTTTTGCATTCTCTCCTAAATTTGTATTAGCTAATTCGTACTTTAAAACCACAAAAGAACATAGAAATAAAATCAAGAGAAATATAGAATAGAACCACAAGCAAGAAGCAAAATCAAATATTTTAATTCTCGTCTTCAAAATCAAATATCATACTTTCTCATTCATTATAAACCATGTATTTATTCTCATTTATTTCACACGCTCGTATTTATCATTTTAAAATATTCAAATTTAACGTATGTCACATACTAAAATGAAGATTAACCTCACATACATTCAACCACGTCGACTTACCCATAAAAGGTGAGATGAGAGGTCGATCAAACATAAAAGGTCTGTGTGAAAACACCTTTGAAAGAAGAATCGGTGGATGGTTTGTGTGGTTGGGTCAAGGGATCCTTTTGGCGGTATATATTGATTCCAAGCCATCTCACTCGTCACCGCTACCACCCAATCACCCGACCCAAATCCCTGTCTCCAACACCAACAATCCAGTTCTTCTATGGCGTCTCTGCTGGTCCACTCATCAATTTCACATTCCAACGCTCGCCCACAATCTTCTTTCCCTTCACAAAACACTGTATTTGATTTCAAATACACCCACAACCTACCGAAGAGAAGAAAACCGATCATTTCTTTGTCCGCCGTCGACGAAAAAGTTCCCGTTTCCGAACCATCTCCGTCTTCTTACACGGGCTTTCAGTTACCTGGTACCGTGCAGTCTTTAAAGCTCAAGTTGGTGGTAAAGTTTCTTTCTTTCTTTTGCTGATTACATGTTTGAAGTTCAAACTCGAAAGGTTTCTAACAGAGATCTTTTTATTCGTCTTGTTTGCATTATTTGTATGTATAAGCGGTGCCCAAATTGGTTTAAGCTTGGGCTCCTGTGGTCAAAAAGTGCCTGGATGTCTCATGTTGGAATGCAATTCCTCTTTCAAATGCGATGACTAGGGCTACCAGCAAAGCCGGTGGTTTTCTTAAGGATTAGTCAGCTCGCTTAGCGGTTAGATATCCAAGTTAATAAAAAAAATTACTTGTTTCTTGGTAGGGTTTGATAAGTTGAAGAATGGATTAATTCGAACTGAAAATTGTGGAATGATTTCAGTTATGAACTTATGCTTATGAAAAAGATATAAACCATTTGATCTTGATTGTTGGTTTAGTTTTGAGTTTATCCCTGTAATTGGGTTGGTTTTTCTAACAATCTTGAGATAGAATCTCTTCAAAAGTTCAAGATTGTCAAACTGTTGAATGTAGTTATGGGTTTATGACCATCACAAACAATAGGCCACTTCTATCATCTTCAATGTATGAACTGAATCATGACTATATTGATCACATACTCCTTTACCTTTTCCCAAATTTTTTGACTTGACCCTTTAGATTAGTCTCCAAAAGAATCTTTAGAAGAGAAGAGGGTTCCAACATATATGCATGAGAAATGGTACAAGTCTAGCCGATACAGGACTTCAGCACTCCCGAAGATGGTGCTTATGGGACTAGACTAGTACAGATTGCCCTAGAGTGTTGAATTTTTAGAGTGACAGACCTTGGCTCTTATACTATGTGTAGGATATGTAGAACCCCATTAGATTACTATCCAAAAGAGCTCTTGGGAGGGAAATGAGGTACCAACATATATAGAGCCATAGAGGAGAAATGGTCCAAGTCTAGCCATTGTAGACTCCAACAGACCCCTTCCAACAAAGGCTAGACAAACACAAATTGTCCCAGAGTGTCGAGAGGGGGTTATGGAGCTAGAGGGGTACGTATTGCCCCAGAGAGTCAAATCCCTAGAGTGACAGACCTTGGCTATGAGCCTATGATACTATCTGAATATATGTGGAACCTCATTATATTACTATCAAAAAGAGCCATAAACATATATAGAGGAGAAATGGTAAGTCTAGCGGATGTGGGACTCCAACAGATTGCATGAAACTGTGTAATATGGCACATATATCTCATGTTATTGGTACTACGTGTTTCTTGATATTATTTTACGAAATGGTCGATTGCAGACTGCTGTTTCTGGGCTCAATAAAGGGCTTGCTGCAAGTGAAGAAGATTTGAAGAAGGCAGATTTTGCAGCCAAAGAGCTTGAATCTGCTGGAGGACCTGTTGATCTTTCAGCTGATCTTGACAAACTTCAAGGAAGATGGAAACTGATATACAGCAGTGCTTTCTCATCTCGTACTCTAGGTGGGAGCCGTCCTGGCCCTCCGATCGGAAGGCTACTTCCTATAACTCTTGGCCAGGTATCATTAACACACCCAAACCTTTTTCTTTATCAACTAATACATGTATACTCTCCTCTTCATGTGAATAATGATACATGAAATATAAACCATCTTTAGCATGAATCCTACTGCTTTCAAGACTTGTTGGGGTTTATGATTCATATTCTCATCTTTGTATTATAACAAAATTGACTTTATAGGACATCAAATATATCCAAGGGTTGGGTCCAGTTTAGAAGGGAAGTTATGGTGTGAAGGCAGCGTAAGTAGATATCTCCTCCCTTGGATCAATCCTAATTAAATGTCAACACTAATGAGGTGCATGGAGATGCACCAGATCGATTCCCTTCTAAAGTGCAATTCATGGGTGGGTAAGAGATTAAAAGTGATCAAGGGTTCAGATCTCTTCTTACCCTTCTCGCCATAACTTCCCTTCTTACACTATCCTTCGCCTATATCTAAATGTTCAAATAGACTGCTTTATAGGACTTAAGTTTGTAGGACCAACCTATTATTCAATCCTATGTAAAGGTGTTACAATAGGATGTTAGGACTTATTTGGCCATCCTAACGGAAGTTTTTAGACCCCTTGAAACAAAGTACATCGCTCACTGCGAGGACAAGGAGACCTCCTAAGCCTTGGTCTTAGAATACAAGCCTCCCTCCGGTTGGCTAATATTCTCTTACCTTTTCCATAGGACTCCTTTGAATAATGTCCTATAATTTTTTTTGTAGGACACTTCTACAAATTATATCATATACAAAGACAAATTGGACGTTTTATTTCAAAAGTGTCCTAATAACTTGTTAGGATGCGTAAAAACAAACTATCAACTTATTGTAACATCTTTGCATAAGACTCACAATTGTTTGGTCCTATAAGCGTAAGTACTCTAAGGCGGTCTATTAGGACATTTAGGCATATTTGGCGTTCTATAAAACCGATATTTTTAGTGTTTGCTCTTTAATGCTGTATTCTTGATATCATGAACTCTGGCATGCATAATGTTGTCAAATTGTTTCAGTTCTTCCATATCCCGACGATTTAGATGGCCTCTTAATCTCTTCTTTTAAAAACAGGTATTTCAACGTATTGATACCGTGAGCAAAGACTTCGATAACATAGTAGAGCTTCAACTTGGCACGCCATGGCCTCTTCAACCAGTAGAAGTGACTGCTACATTAGCCCATAAGTTTGAGATCATAGGTTGGTCCATGTGAAATCAATTTTGTCTAGTTTCAGTATTTGCATTATTATACCAATTTCAACGCTGATAAATATTATAATGTTGATAGGATCTTGTCTGATCAGAATCACCTTTGAGAAAACAACAGTAAAGACAACAGGAAACTTATCTCAGCTGCCATCATTGGAGGTACCCCAGCTACCAGAACAGTTTAGACCATCAACTAATAGAGGAAGTGGTGAATTTGAAGTTACTTACCTTGATTCTGATCTTCGTATTACAAGAGGAGATAGAGGAGAACTTAGAGTTTTTGTGGCCTCCTAAATGAAGAACACAGCATGAATCTGGGACTTCGGTATAATCACATTGTTCGTTTTGAACTGAAATATGTGTAGCGAAGCACAACACGGTGTATATTTTTTATTTACCACACATCTTGCCTATACAAACTTTACATTTTGTACTTTGTAGTGCATCTAAACACGTTGAGATCAAATAAATGTAGCATTTATAGCACATAAAACGTGTTGAAATCCTATTTCAATATTTATGCTTTCTAAATATGTTACTTAACCTGGGAGTCTTCTTGGAAATAGCCTCTTTTGTCTTTTGAAATAGAGACAAGGTCTGTGTAAATCTCAACCCTGAACTTTAGGATGAGATATATTGGGTTTGTTTGGTTTGTACCTTATTTCTCAATTAGTATGTCATCCAAGTGATTTGTTGTCTGTTCATGAGTTAAAACACTCAGGGTCTGCAAAACGTTTGTTCAGATACTCATCAAGAGTTGCTGTGGGAAATGCTCGCTCTCTATGACCATTTACCCATTAAGGAGGAGGGGAAGAAGATAGAGAAGAAGTTGCAGAATCAAGTAGACATCGACTTCTTATCTGGTAAATGTCTTTTCTTCTTGTAACTATGGGTGTCCGAGCCATCTTGTGCACCCCTTGATTAATCCCATGGGTCCCTGAAGATAATAGCTAGAAAAATATCCTCAATGGCCCTTAGGAGACTCGAACCAGTGTCCTATAAGGAGACCCCCAAGTCATAGCCTTTATTTGCCGGTTAAAGCAGGTGGGCATCGATACTTTTCATTTGACTTCACCTTCCCCCTTCTGTTTGTTTTAAGAGCATTCTGTTTTCGGACAAAAAAATACAAACCCGATTTGGGAATTATATATCATCTGAAAGCTATTCGTTATATGTATATAACAAGCGTATGCGTCTATATAGGACATCAAAGAACTCTCATTGCTGCATATGTTGAATAAACAAAGCATGCTAATTAAGTATTTGATCTACAGGTTCATAAATAAGATGATTGCTGAATATAAAATTAATGTTACAGATTCATTTTTATGTAAAAGTTTTATCGAAGTTGGTACAGGCTCCATCATCAAAAAGGTTAGCTTGCTTGCTTTCTTCATGTAGTCCTTCACATGTTCTCAATCATCTGGTTTTTGGCACACCCCATCACTGCACCCAGAATCCAGACCTGAACCATCTGTGTTTGATGGGTCCTTGTTTTTGGTTTTGGAAGATCTTGCAGTTCCATCTCCTGTTGACCCTTTTTTCTTTCTGGTCCTTCTCGCATTCGTTTCTTGTGCTGGTGACTCTGATCCAAGGATTGAGTTCTTGATCCTCCTCGTTCGACTACTGGTTTCATTGGCTGTAGAAGAAGAAGAATCAACATTGATGTTCTTGCTCTTCCTGGGCTTCGGATTCATATTAGGTGACTCCATCCCTGGTGAGGAACTAGCCGCCTGCCGCCTGGATTGCTTTGTCTTTGCAGGGCGGCTAGGGGAAGGACCACCGGTGGATGGCAAAGGATCTAGAATTTCCAAAACTCCATAATAAACACAGGCTTCAAAATCACACAAAAAAAAAAAACACACTTTCTGATTATAAAGTTACCTTTAGATCCAGTTTCACCAGATTGAGACTCGGAACCACCTTGATACTCGTTCATCTGTGACAATCCGTTTATGTAACTAAAAGAATAACAAGAAAAACCGAAAAATAGACATGGGATATAATACTAACCCAACTTGGTGCAGGGGTGGAAGGACCATCGCACCCAATGTGGGCAACATGTTTAACATCGGTTGGATTACCAATCTGAATTTCTGGTTCTTTTTCATTATCTGCATCTGTTTAAGATATTAAGAATGTTGTAATAGATCCATAATCTTTAGCTTGAAATGGGAAACGTAAAGAAACACATATATATATATATATATATATGTATATATATGTATGTATGTATGTATGTATATGTATGTATGTATGTATGTATGTATTACCAAATATGCAACGCAGGCCTCTGAATAAACCTTTCATCATGGCAGGGGGAAGGGGAAATATAAACAAGAAAACTGTATCTATCGTATAGCTGGTGCTGCTTGTTGGCTGGATCACATGGAGCTTCCTATCTTCAACAACATACATCACTAGACGTTAGACATTTGAATCTATTTCTGAAAATCGAATCCTATATATATATATATATATATATATATATTTATAAACATATATACGCAGATGTATGTATATATGTGCATACAAACTCACATCAAATATGGAAACTCTCGCCCCACATGATCCTGCGGAACAAGCATTTGTGAGACCTTTGGAATGGAAGAATACCCACAACCAGAAATCACAAAATATGATCTGAAATCGAAGAAATTAGCGTCGTTTTTGCCGTGGGATCGAGAGATGACTGAATTATTAATCTCAAAAGGGAAAAAAGTAATTAAAGCAGTTTAGCAGGAAATTGGTTTGTTAAGGTTATGAATCAATGGGAGCCATTGGAGTCGTCCACATTTAAAGGAACCCACCAAAATTTCAAGAAATGCTACAAGGCACATGCTTCATTTAACCCCGATGTGACCGAGATACTGATTTTATAAAAAAATTACGTTTTTGCCTGTTAGTAGCACGTCTTTTCATGAATGTGGTCCGTATCAAATACCCTTTCAAACAAAACCCACCATACAAAATGTGATTGATTGCGTATAAAAAAAATCGAACATTCATGTTTATGTATCATACCGTAAAAAAATTGGAAAGTTATCGATATGTTTTGTAAAAACAGTCCTTATGGTTTTCTTTTCAGAACGTCATTTTCCCTAATATTGCAAATATATTGTAAGTATCTCTTTTATAAGTGTCAAATTCATCAAATAACCTACGTTAGGTTAATTATTATTTTAAGCGATAACCAGCTCTGTTTGAAAAGCATCCCATGCAAACTCGATCTCCATCAAACTTTTACTTGAAGCAAGCAACACATACGATATTTTAATTTTTTTTCTCTACTACTTGGGTCTGAAGTTTCAACTGGACCACCCTCAATCTAACTTAAAAATGTTATATAACAAGTAAATATGCAATTACTTTTATTCATAGAGTCAATTTTTATTTCACCCATGCATATCTTATTTTCAACTGGGACATATTAGGTATATTCGATTTTAGTGGATCTTTATCTTAAAAACTCTTGGTCAGAATTCCAATTTTGAATTCTGATTTTCTGTCTAAAACTCAATGATGATCTTTAAAACAATTTTAGGGCTTAGATTTAACAATTGGTTTCCAGTTTGTTTATAGACAACAATTATAGCATAAATACAGAATCCAACTTCCAATGAAGCTACAAAACTCGAAATCCAACAAAGCTGCGAAACGACCCTTCAATTGGGTTACGGGTCCTAATTCCCCCTCAAAGAACATGTTTTTTTTATACAAACATGGCTTGAAAGTTTGATTTTTACAAAAATCACCGTTTTGTCCATGTTAGCAACACGTAAGCTGCCAATCGGCCGGTCCATGCCACATTAACACTTAGAAGGTTTCAACGCTACCAAAAGGTGTTTGGATGTGTTATTTTTTCGTTTGACAAAAATGGATATAATTATGGTTTTTTAGAAGCCATCAAATTTTTTTAAATGTTTATTTTAGTCCAGTGAGATATTAAAAAGAGGAAAAAACGGGTCGTCCAACCATTCATACACTGTTTTCCAACTAACATGATGTAAAAAAAATGGTAAAATGACTATTATGCTATTGAATTCAATTTTGCATGTAAACATTATTAAACAATAGTATTTTTTGTGAGTGTTAGTTTATGCCTTGATGATATCATTAAAAGATAAGGGTCTGATTTGACCAGACATAATCTTGTTTGACAGGACTTTAGAAAAGACTCTAAATGGTGTAACAGCTCTCCTTGGCCTATCCCACCCCATACGATTAAGATCCCATGTCCCCATGCTTGCCCTCGCCTTTCATTTCTTTATATACGGTCTCTCCTTTATGCAATGACATAGAAAAAGGGATCTCACTAAACCTTCCAGTCTAACCCTCATTTTGTGTTTTAAATATGTATTGCAGGAATGGCTGATGGTAAGGGGAAGGGGAAAATGTGATATTTCCCTGTATGCATATCTGTGTGAAGATTGATCACGATACATCTAGTTTTTGGTAGATGAATGTTGATTAGTACAAGAAATGTATTTTGAATTTTTGGACCATGTATTCAGTATGGTAAATTCTTGTACCTTGGGACCTGAATGGTGTATAAACATGTATTTCTTATGAATGAAGTATATGCTACATGCAATGTGTGATGTGGGGTGTTACAGAAAGTGGTATCAGAGCCTGAGTTTAAGAGATTTATGTATTTAAAGCATAATAGCTAGACTTAAACTATTTCATTGCATGTTAGGGGTCCCGGACATAGTTAGCACTATTGGAAATAAATATGATGAGTTGAAAAAACAGTGTGTAAGGTAAATTTTAATTACATCTGGCCAGTGTAATTATGAATTTACAGGTACATATTTGGACTTAGATACTTCATTATATTTGGGAATGTGAATACGTGATTATTCAAATTGAAATCTGCAGATGTCTAGTCGAACACGGAGATCTGAGAGAATCGCTTGTCTTGAATCTGAGGAAAGAGAGGAATCGCCTGTTAATCTTCCAACGAGTACTTTTGGAAATAGAGGTCGGGGAAGAACCAGGGGAAGAGGCAGAGGGAGAAGCCAGGTACAGGGAAGAAGTCAGACTAAGACGCGTCCCGAGCATGGGGAATCTCACTCTGGGAATGCTCATGAAGAGCAGGTGCTACATCCAGAGTATATAACTAGAGATATGCTGGCAGAAGAAATGAGAAAGTTAAAGGAAACCTTGACATCTATCATGGGATTACCTGCCAGGGTTGAAACGGAAAGAGTGGAAGTGCATCCCTCTGTTCCAGTTGTTCACAACAAATAGGGAGATATTAAGATGTTTTTTACTTGCAAACCACCAACTTTCTCTGGAGAAAGAGATCCAGTTAAGGCTATGTGCCGGATCAAGGAGATTGAATATGTGTTTAACACTAATAAGTGTCCAGAAACAGATAAAGTTTGATTTGCTGAATGTATTGAAGTCTAATGCTCTATTTTGGTGGGAAGTTGAGTCTTTAGCCAGGATAGATGTCTTACAAATGTTATCTTGGGCAGGATTCGTGAACCGATTCAAAGATCAGTTCTGTCCCAAGACAACTATACGACAAATGGAGGAGGATTTTCTAAAGTTGGAACAGGGTGATGGAACTGTTCGGTAGTACACTGAAAATTTCATCGAGTATTCCCGATTTGCTGAACATTACATTTCGTCAAAGTCTAGAAAGGTGGAGAGGTATATCTGGGGGTTAAAACCTTTGATCCATGAATTTGTGATCGCCATTAACCCTACTTCCTTTTTCATTAACTGTGGACGTGGCGGAAGAAACTGAACGAAACAAGAATAGGCAGGCAGAGGGTAAGGTTGTTGAGAAAAAGAAATGGGAAGGACCTTCGTCTAACTTTCAAGGGTCAAAATCAGTAAAATATGATAACAAAGCTGAACAAAAGATCAATGAGAAAGTTTGTGCTCGGTGTCGACAGGTTCACCAGGGTGACTGTAAGGTGGACCCGAGAAAATGTTACAAATGTGGCGAGGCGGGTCATTTGTCAAGAAGCTGCCCAACTAATAGAATATGTTTTAATTGCAATTCCCCAGATCATATTCGACCCAACTGTCCATTGTTGAGAACTCCATAGTTGACTATGGGGAGTAATGTATCGGGTGCTCGTGGAAGACCTAATATATCCAGAGGAGGACTAGATGACAAAGAACGAGGCAGAGGCCATACCAGATGTAGTAACATGTACCTTTCTTCTGAATTCTATACGTGCTAAGGTGTTGTTTGATTCAGGTGCAAACTTTTCGTTTGTATCACCGTCATTTGCTCAAATTGCATGCTTGAATTATGTGCCACTTGATGATGAATTAGTAGTTGGCACTGCTAATAGTCAAGAAATTGTTACTTGTGTATTCAATAATTGCATTATTGTTATTGAGGGATGTGAGTTACCAATTCGATTGTTCCCAATGCCGATGAAAGAGTTTGATGTAGTAGTAGGCATGGATTGGTTGGCAGAACATCAAGCCAGTATTGTCTGCAATAGGAAAATGATCATAATTACCTTGCCAGATAGAGGGTCTGATGATCACCATAAATAACAACTGACCCTCTATCTTGCAAGGTAATTCTGATCATTTTCCTATTGCATACAATAGTGGCCTGATGTTTAGCCTACTAATCCATGCCTACTACTACATCAAACTCTTTCATGTGATCATCAAAATCATCATATTAGTCTTTTATTCGTATTAAAAGCTCGAAAATGTATCCGGAAGAAGTGTCAGGGGTATTTGGCTTATGCTATAGATGTAAAGAAAGAGAAGGGGAAATAGGAATAGATTCCAATTATTAGTGAATATCCAGAAGTCTTTCCAGAAGACTTATCTAGTTTACCGCCAGACAGAGTTATTGAATTCAGAATTGATCTCATACATGGGGCAACACCCGTAGCTAAAGCGCCGTATCGACTAGCTCCATCAGAACTGAAAGAAATGGTTACTTAGTTAAAGGGTCTGCTTGATAAAGGATTCATTAAACCCATCACTTCACCCTAGGGTGCTCCAGTCCTTTTTGTTAAAAAGAAAGATGGGTCTATGCGGATGTGTATAGACTATCGAGAATTGAACAAGTTGACGATCAAGACTAAATATCCTTTGCCAAGGATTGATGACTTGTTTGATCAACTGGTGGGAGCAAGTTATTTTTCAAAGATCGAGTTACGATCAGGGTATCATCAGCTTAAACTCAGGGAGGAAGACATTGCCACCACTGCTTTCCAAACTAGGTACGGACATCAGGAATTTTTAGTTATGCCATTCGGTTTAACTAATGCGCCTGCGGCCTTTATGGATCTAATGAATAGGGTATGTAAGGGATATCTTGATAAATTCGTTATTGTATTTATCGA